GTCATGTGCGCAGAAAGAGCAAATGCACTGTATCCTCCGCATGTTTAACGACTGTTTCGCGCCTACATACAAGATAAAACAAACGCCAACCATAAAGCACCGCATTGTCACTGACCTTGCTGAGTGACCCATACGTCGGCACGCCTACCGAGCATCACAAAAGGAACAAGAGGCTATACGTTCTCAAGTGAAGCAGATGCTCGAAGATGACGTAATCCAACCCTCGAACAGTCCATGGTTGTCCCGCGTCGTGCTAGTAAAAAAGGAGGACGACACTCTCCGAGTTTGCGTCGATTACCGCAAACTCAACAAAGTCACAAAGATAGACGTTTATCCGCTTTCACGCATCGACGACTCACTAGACCACCTCCGACGCGCCCGATACTTCTCCTCTATGGGTTTACGCAGTGGCTACTGGCAAATCGAAGTTGATAAACGTGACCGAGAGAAAAGCAGCATTCATTACGCCTGATGGTCTGTACGAATTCAAGGTTCTGCCGTTCGGTCTGTGTTCAGCCCTTGCGACATTCCAGAGGATGATGCTCTCCGGTCTCAAGTGGGAAGCCTTGTTTACTTAGACGACGTCATTGTATTCTTCCAAACGTTCGAGCAGCACTTGCCGCGACTTAGATCTGTGTTTGCTGCAATTCGTACGGCAGGCCTATCACTGAAACTAGAAAAATGTCATTTTGGTTACAACAAACTAAAGCTCCTCGGCCACCTTGTTAGCCCTGATAGTATTCGGCCGGACCCAGACAAAACATTGGCTGTCGCAGATTTTCCACCACCTGCCAACAAACGTGATGTGCGTCTATTTTTAGGCCTCTGCACATACTAAAGACGCTTTGTGCAAAATTTCGCAAACATTGCCGAACCCCTCTGTCACGGACGGCCATTTTTGGCGACACCGCGTCACGGCAATTAATAGGCGCCGTACTCCCCGACTGACCGTGAGAACGGCGGCGCATGAAAGGGAGCCGAGAAGTGCAGAATGGGGTGCTCTTCTTAGAACGTCGCCGTCGACGTTTGATCCTTTTGTAACTGCGGCGGCGTCTCCAAGGTCGTAGAAGGCCGCGGTATACCCCGAACAAGGATTAGACTATGAGACGCACCGGCTGAGAGCCGAACGGTTGACCGTTCCCACGGGGAAAAGCGTGGGAAACGCTCTGGTGGCCAAGCCGTATGACAACAACCCGACAGGTTGTCACTCTCGCTAGTTGAGTGCCCTCTTCCATTTAAAAAGGGGTGGGGTCAAAATATTTTTGGAGCGGAGTTTCCATCAATTAAACGCGCATGATTGGACCCAGGTAGAGGTCTCTTGTCCCCAAGGAAGAGAGCGAGGAGACACGAGGGGAATTTAAGCGCAGGATTTCGCCCTGCTAGGCATACTAGTCGTTGACCAACATGGTGTAGAAACAGATCAACAAGCATCTCTTTTAGAAGTTTTTAGTGTGGCTCTGTATCGGCTGGCCTCCTAAACTTAGCCGTTCGTCTAGTTGTGACGCGATATTAACGTCTGCAACGTAGACATCGGGACTTCGCCTCGAGTTAGCTCAACCTGCTCGAAATCACCTGCAAGCACTAGCCTCCCGGAGCCACCAGCGTTGCAACACCGCCGACATCGCAGTCGTGCCAGAACTCTCTTCGACTTCTCGCATCCCATCGTCGTGGACACAACGCTGCCGGTCATCACACGTATGCCTTCACCTGTTTTTGCCTTCGAACTTTCTCCTCCGTCGTTCTATTCTTGTTAGTTTGTGTAGTTTGTAGTAGTTCTCTCTCGTAAGCTGATTTATTGTTTCTGTTATATATTTCTTTAGATGTATCAAGTGTAGATGAATTTTGTTAGTTGTATTGAAGTGTTGTATTAGATCCCGTGTGCTGCAATATCACTAGAGTAAAGTTGTTTTGTTTTCTCACGTCTCTGATCTCTTCACTGTCTCTGCTTGCGTGCGGAACGAACCAACCTGCTGTCATTCCCGTCGCCGACTTCACGCTGGCGACGCTTGAGTGGCAGCTTGTAACACCCTCACTCATCTGACAAAAGACGACGTTCCCTTCGTGTGGGGCCCTGAGCAAACACGCGCTTTTTCCGAGCTCCAGCAGCGTCTCTAGTCTGAGCCCTTACTCGGACACTACGACCAATATGCCGACACTGAACTACACACAGACGTCAGTAACATCAGCCTTGGTGCTGTCCTCGTCCAGTGGCAAGGCGGCGTCGAACGCCCTATTGCTTATGCGAGCCGGATTTTATCATCTGCGGAGGCAAATTACACAACAACTGAAAAGAAGTGCCTAGCTCTTCTCTGGGAAATAGCTAAATTCAGACCATACCTGTATGGTCGCCCGTTCAGAGTTGTTACCGATCATCATGCGCTCTGCTGGTTGGCGAACCTTAAAGACCCTTCCGGACGTCTGGCCAGGTGGAGCTTACTTCAGGAGTTCGATTTGACAGTCGTGTACAAGTCTGGTCGGAAGCATACTGACGCGGACTGCCTTTCCCGAGCTCCTCTTAAGACAGCGTCAGGTGATCACGATATCGACGGCCGTGTTCTCTGCGGCGTCAGTGTAACCGACTTGGCTGAACAGCAGAAGAACGATTCCAAGCTTCGAGACTTCATCGAATATCTCGAAGGCCGTACGCCGCATCCACCAACAGCATTCGCCCGCTCGTCATTATCGTTCTCCGTTCGCAGAAATATCCTCTATAAAAGAAACTTCGACCCTTACGCGACTGAGTACCTGCACGTCGTCCCACCAGCGTTACGAGCCGATGTCTTGTCTGCCTGTCACAATGAGCCTTCCTCAGGCCACTTAGGATTCACACGTATCTTGGCCTGGATTCGCCATCACTACTACTGGCCTAAGCTCAATCGAGACGTGAAGCATTACGTGAAGACGTGTCATGAGTGCCAGTGCTGTAAAGCACCACATCAGCACCCAGCCGGCTTTTTGAAGCCCGTCGCTCCTCCGACACAACCGTTCCAACAAATTGGCATGGATCTACTCGGAGCTTCTCCCAAGTCTCGTGACGGCAACCGCTGGATTGTAGTCGCTACTGATTGCATGACGTGCTACTGCGAAACGAAGGCATTACAACCTGGCACTGCCATTGAGACTCCCCGCTTTTTTATGAAAAACATCGTCCTCCGACATGGAGCACCAGCAGTTGTCATAACTGATCGTAGCACAGCTTTTACCACCCGGATGATACAAGACGCCATGCAGCTTAGCGGCACAGTACATCGAAAAACTACTGCATACCACCCACAAAGCAACGGCCTTACAGATCGACTGAACAAGAGGATCGCCGACATGCTATCCATGTACGTTGACCAAGACCACAAAAACTGGGATGACATCCTCCCTCACCTCGACTTCACTTACAACACCGCTGTGCAAGAAACAACTGGATTCACTCTATTCCGGTTGCTTCACGGCAGGGAGGTCACTACAATGCTGGATGCCATAGTTCTGCCAGACAGACACCAGATTAGTGTCAAGACGAACGAATTTATCAGACTGGCAGACGCAGCTCGTAAGCTTGCAGTCGAACGAATTCATAAGCAACAATGCATCGACTCGCTGCGGTACAACGCTCGTCGTCGCGATGTCTCTTACCAACACGGAGAACTAGTATGGTTGTGAACTCCCATTCGACAACGGCGTCGGTCAGAAAAGTTGTTACACCGCTATTTTGGTCCCTATAGAGTTCTCCTTCGTCTCAGCGAAGTGAACTACGAGGTTCTTGACGAGGACATGGCTCGTCAATCCCGCCATTCACAACAGCCACACGTCGTTCATGTTTCGAGGATGAAACCATTTTACCAATGCTGACTTTTCGTCAAACTCCCTTGAGTAGACTTACAGTAATTGTGAACACCCCCTTGTGTACTGCTTATCGTATGTGTTTTCTTTTCATCTGGTAATTATGTTGTGACATCGGGACGATGTCCTTTGGAAAGGGGGGTAATGCCACTAGTACAAGTTCTGAAAGTGTCATTTCCACAGATGCTGGCAGGCTTGTATGTGCCACTGTTCAGAAGAGGACGACGATGCGCGTGACGAGAAAAACAATAGTCATATTGCCGTTGTTCGAATCCGTTTGACGTCCTTGTGTACCAATGTCTACAGGTTACAGTTACGGTGTAACGTGAAAATATCATAGTGTACTTATAATGTTTTTGCATGCGAAAATTAACTACGACAGGCTCACCGTTTCTACGAACTGTCTCATTCTCAAGTACACATGATATCGTACTGCAGGGGAGGTGTAGCGAATACAGCGAGCTTATACCGCAACCGCAAAGCATGGTTTTAATACTGTTTCAACAAGAAACTCCTCCGAGCGTGGGCCCTTTCGCGACACCGGAACACAGCTGCGTGCGCTGGCTCGTGATAACATCTACGACGTGGTCACGTGATGTATATACGCGGCGCATCAAGAACGGGAAATTCCATGACGCGGCACACGCAAGGTCGCGCATGCGCGGCACTCGCTTGCGAACATGGACGATTTTCACGGTGGAACGTCATGGTCGAGGATTCGTTAGAAACGACCATGCTCAACGGCAATTTGCGACACCAAGACATGTATTCGTTGTCCTACTCTGATCGGCTAACCTGTGGTTGCATGGAGTCGAACAGTATATCACCAGAAGTTAGCGCTATGTACCGTTAACTTCACTGCTTCGAGTCACCATTAGAGGCACCCGGCAATGCAATTTACGAGATGTCATGGTAGCACCAGAACACAGAGCCTAGCGACTAGATGCAGCAAAACCATACTCGCACATGCATATCATTTTCTTTTTTATATGTGAGCATGGGGGTCACGGCTGATTATGTAAGCACCGAGGAAGCGTTCTTTGAAAACTTGCCGAAAAAGGCACTGACACTTCAGCGTGTCACTGTGTTCAGTGAGCGTTTCATTTTCTTAGTATCCCTGGTGGTCGGCGCCAACAATGCTGAGGCGGCCCAAAGAGCTTCGTCGCACCCTCTGGTTAAATGTCGGGTGCCTATGTCGGAGCTTTCCCGCCTTGCTGACCAGCGAACAAGTTTTGTGGATTTCGCTATGAGGTAAGTCCTATCTTACGACTCTCGTAAATTTTCCCCGCCTTCGCCCTGTTCGACTGCCGACAAAAAGCTCATGCCTTGAATGTTTACGCTGCTTTGAAGTCGCACAGAGGCTTACTCGAAATCGGCTTTTTTTTTTTCTTGCGCGCGTGCGGCTTTGGCATGATAGATATGTGGGGTTTAACGTCCCAAAACCACCGTATGATTATGAGAGACGCCGTAGTGGAGGGTTCCGGAAATTTCGACTATCTGGGGTTCTCTAACGTGCACCCAAAGCTGAGCACACGGGCCTACAACAATTCCGCCTCCATTAAAAAGTGCAGCCGCCACAGCCGAGATTTGATCCCGCGACCTGCGGGTCAGCAGCCGAGTACCTTAGCCATTAGACCACCGCGGCGGGGCCACGGCTTTGGCGTACTTGCGAATTCTGTGCAACGTTGTCGCGTGCCCCTGACCGCAAAGTTGGTTACCAGGAATTTAGCGGTGTGGGCTTGGTAGCTGCTGTCACGTTTCGGTATACAGTACGCATTGCGTTATAGTAAACGAAAATTCCTCTACGTCCCGGGGAAGTGGCCGACAAAGCTGGGACTCCAATTCTTTTCGTTGCAGTTGCGTTATTAGACGACATAACTGAAGTTCAGTTGGAGTGTTCCGTGTAGATAAACAAGCCACTTTGATTAGCAGAAGTGTGACATCTGGGCTGTATCTGATTGCAATAATTCACTTATAAATATAAGCGCGGCCTATTCAGCCGGCAGCGTTTATTTTAGCGTTTGCAGGTCTTGTGCCGGCAGTAGTTGCTCAAGTTACGCCCAGCGTGTTGTTCAATTGGCTTCCGCTATTTTCGAAGTGTCCGTTAGTGATTTTCTCGTCACAGTTGAGTGCCAGTGACCTATGCTGTGGCGCATCGCGTCTCTCGCTATTTGGCTATCACAAAAAATGAATTAAAAGAAGAACAAAGCGGAAACACCACACGGAAGAGATCGCCTGATTGGAGCAACCCCGAGGGATTCACAGTGCGTTATCACGGGCGCTTCCCGAGCCTATAGGGCGAAAAGGGACAAAGAAGCTGTCTTCGCTGTAACGGTTTGGCAAGAGTGCCGGCACATCAACTTCGAGCGTTATAGTCCCCGTTGCCGGGGCTATATCTACTTCCGTCAATGTCTGCACCGTGCATCCGCAAGTTTTTTGACGAAAAGCAGCTCACTCGTTTTCTGAAAGAAGGGGTTCAAAGTTTATATAGCGGCTGCCACCTTTAACTGCTGCTGAAAGAAAGACTGTGAAGGTCTCTGAGATCTGCCTTTGCCGTTGCTCTGAATGTTCGCAGTGATATCGCTAGCACTACATGGTATAATATAGTATGACTGTGGCTGGTAAACACATTGTAATAGTATATTTTAAAAATATTTTGCCTTTATTTTGATACCAAGCATCAGAGAAAAGGTGACATGCGGAAGAATTAACAATAGGAATCGATCATTCAACTGAAATATACTTGCATTCTTTTATTGAAACGCTTAGGTACTTAGTATTAGTCGCATGCCACTATTAGGTGTATGTTCATAAAACATACATGACGGGATGACGGGGTATTTGTTCAATTCATTTGGTGCTGTCACTTGGAGTTGAAACCAGCGGTGCTTGTTGGAATGAGTTAACTCAAATTTTGCCAGACCACCTTGCTGTCTGTACAACTTCAGCACATTTCGGAAGCACCAGCTGGACAGCAAAGCGAGTGCAATACGTTGTCGTTTCACAAGTATTAGTGAATTCAGCACTTACATACCTTTTATAGATGGCACAGAATAGATACTGTAAAATCCCAAGTTAGTTTTTCAGTTTCAGTTTCAGTTTTATTGAGCATTTTCTTCACAGAGTTGCGAAAAAGGAAACGCAAGGATAGGAGCAAAAAGCTGCTATATTAGCAGCTTGACGAGGCTCCTACCCCTTTTCACTTGGCATTACAGAATCAGCAGAGCACAAAACATGAAAAAACAATTTGACGTCGATTTTCAAAACTTCAATAAATAAAAAGAAAATGCATCAAAATTACATCAGTTTCAGGTTTACATAAAATAAGCAAACCACATAGAGAGAAAAACAACAAAAAACAAAGAAAACAGCGTGCGGCCAATCATGAAACAATGCACACGTTGCTAAACGGCTACCAAAGTATTACAAAATGATTATACAACGTTTACAACACTGGGTATGCGAAAAGCACGAGTTTTAATGCACAAGGGAAACACTGACGAGTGAAATGTTGTATGTTTTACTCGTAAAAAAAAAAGCAACGAAAAAAAAAATGTCAAAGAAAGCAAACATTATACGATGCCATGTTACACAAGCACTATTATAGGGTGTTTCTTTTACATATAGTACTGTAGCCGGACAACTAGAAGATGCTAAACTACACGGCGCTATTTTGGATGAGAAGGTTCTTAAGTTGTTTTTTATGTATATTAAAGATGTCGATGTTTTTATTTTCAAACAAGTTAAAACAAGCTGGAATACAGTGTTCAAGTCTTCTCAAACCGTGATTAGTTCGCGAATAAGGAACAAACCAGGAAGGCCTTTTCCGAATGTCATAATAGGATTGTGTATTTTTCCTGAGGTTACACAGTTTAAGAAAACAAGCATTGTTTGATAGCAAGCTTTGTTTGTATTTCATAATAAGGTTGAAACTGTGTATGTGATCGATCAGTAAAATCTTATATTCTCTGAATAAATGACTTGTATGTGCGTCGTATGGTACGTTTGCAATATGACGAATCGCTTTTTTCTGCAGTAAAAATATTTTGTTCCGATTTGCTTTAGATGTATCTGCCCACACTAGACTACAATAGTTTATGTGAGATGAAAACAACGTATTATAGAGTAAAAGTTTAATGTTTGCTGGAAGTATCTGTCGAAGTTTAGAGAGAGCACCACACGTCCTAGCTATATTTCTAGTTACTTTATTAACGTGTTCATCCCAATTAAGATTTTTCATTAAAAATTACTCCTAAGGATGAAACTTCTTTGACAACCTCAATTTTTTCGGGCCCGAGATATATATCCAAACCACGACAGACAGCCTTCTGAACCGGTGCGAATACCACAGCTTTGGATTTTTTTGTGTTGATCGTTAAATAATTTGCAGTACTCCAAATGAAGATGTCGTTAAGAATGTTGTTGGCTGAGTCTGCAAGCTTACCTAAGTCATTACCATGAAAAAATATACTAGTGTCATCTGCATAAATTATAAAGTCCACATATTTGCTGACACTTGTTATGTCATTTATATAAATATTAAACAGTAGGGGCCCTAATATGCTGCCCTGAGGTACACCTGACGTTATGGTTAGTAGGGAGGATTGGCTGTCATTTATAACTACAGATTGCTTTCTTTGTGATAAATAAGATTTCAGAAAGTCAAGTGGGGTTCCCCGAAAACCATAATGACGCAATTTTGCATAGAGTACTTCGTGGTTGATTCTATCGAACGCTTTGGAATAGTCAATAAAAACACCCAATGTTAACAGTTTCTTTTCAAATGAGTTAAGTATGAGTTCTTTTTGTGTGAGGAGAGCCAGTTCCGTGGACATGCCCCGTCGGAAGCCAAATTGATGCGGTCATAATATAGAGTACTTTTCACAAAAAGACATGACACGTTGATATAGTATTTTCTCTAGCCCTTTAGATATAACAGGAAGTATCGAGATCAGACGATAATTAGAAAAAATATTTCGGTCACCAGATTTGTATAAGACACTAACTCTCGCATGCTTCATTTTTTCTGGGAAAACTCCCGTGGATAAGCAGATATTAAACAGATGGGTAAGAACAGGTAACAAAAGATCAAGTGCTGCTTTAATAGGTCTAATTTGTAGGTCATCTATGTCCCGAGCAGTAGTGTTCTTTAGTGACATAAATACAGACAATACTTCTTCAGGAGTTGTGTTTAAAAAATATGCAGTGCTCATGTTTGGCACACCTAGAAAGTCCCTGTAATCACTATTACAGGCACGAGAAGGGTTTGATAAATCAGAGGACACCAGCGTTGTGAAGTACACGTTAAATTTATTAGCAAGTTCTTGACCCTTTACTATCTTGTTATCTATGTTTAACTCAAGTGCGTTGTCTCGAGAGCAACTTCTATTTAGAAGCTTATTTATTTCTCGCCAAAGCACGTCGCCACGAGTGCTAACCCTCTTGAAGAGAGCTTCATAGTACGCATCCTTAGTTTTTCTCAGTTGCTTCGTTACAAAATTTCTATACCGCTTGAATTCCGAAAGATCGTTGTGGTGTCTTGTTTTCACGAATTTCGCGTACAGAAGATTTTTCTTCTTAATCATTTCCAGACATTCTCGCGTCATCCATTGTTTCCGACCTTTCTTCAGGGTTTCGACAGTTTTATATTTAAAACACTTATGGTAAGTTTTTCTTAACAGGCACATGAATATTTCATACGCCTCGTTAGCGTTAACTGATTTATAGACAGGATCCCAACAAATCTGCGCAATTTCACGTCTAAAAGTGTCTAATGTTTTGTCACTAATTTCCTGTATTTTGTATGATTCTGGAGTTGATACTTTTGCACGATTAAGATACTCGTTGCGATTTTGAAACATGTATATAGGGTAGTGATCACTAATATCGGCAATAACAGTTCCAGATACGGTTGAATCACTTATGTCATTTGTAATAAGTAAGTCGATAAGGCTTTCAGTATCTAAGGTGACACGTGTAGGTTCAGTAATAATATTAGCACACGCAAAGGAATCAAGTAGTAGTTGGAAGTTACGAGTGGTTTCAGTTTGGTTTCAGTTAGTGTTTCTGGCTTCTTTGGAGGATTTTAAATTTGCGGCCACTTGTCTCCCCTATCCATTTTCACTCGTTTATACTGTTTATGCGCCAAACTAAAACAGTTATTGCATGTGTTTGTAGCTTTTGAAGAACATTGCTGCACTACCCCTCCCCTCTCTCTATCTCCAAAGGACGAAGTGCTGCTGCCATACTTG